TACCTACTACGATATTCCAAACTGATTAGATTTATTTCACATTCAATAAGTGTCTTAATACTTATGAACGAGAGTGTATGTGCACGTAAGATATTAGGTCCTGTTAAAAAAACTGCTTCCACAAACTTTAATGAGAATAAACACTGTCAGGAACCCAAATATGTGCTACTTTAATATTTTAATACATGCAAAACCTCATTGCAACGATTTCTTTTACCAACTACATATTAATATAATAATTATATATATATATTTAAATTTCATTACATTTTTATATTATTACGAAATTTTTCTCATCTACTCTTTTCAAAAATATCCTATTTTTTACCTTTTTATTAATGCTTTAATTTGTAAAAGTTCAATGTTTCATTGCTGAACAGTTCTTTCTCTTTTAGTTATCCCAATGCGCAAATAAAGATATTATCTGATACTAATCCAATCCTTCAAACTTAATACGATGCTTAAAGGTGTCTAAATACATCTATGACACGAAGTTTTAAAGAAAAAGGTGAAAGCGATTGGATTGTTACATGGTAACGAACTTTTTCTAATTACAAATTTTTTAAAGGTTCGATATTATACAGAAATTATACAACTATTAAAATTAGGAAAACTAAGTCATGGATGTTTAATACAGTGAATGTAAAAAGTATTCGTACACTCTATAAAACGGAATAACTTTTTTAAAATTGGGCCAAACGAGTTGAGTTTTTTTTAGAAGTTAGGATTAGTTTACTAGATGACGTGTGTAAAATTTTTTGAAAAAATTGCAAATTGCGGAAATCGTGAAGGAAAATGGTAAAGGTCACTGTTTACAACTTTTTTATCTGAGCTTGTAACGAAAATTTAAAAAATACGTTTTGTAGATCTATGTCAATTATGCACATGCTGAAAATTTCATCGAAATCGGTTGATGGAGAGACAAGCGACAGGCATCGAAAGATGTAAGAATCTTCAGATTTATTAGTGAAATAGTGAAATAGTGCGATTTTCACAATCTTTCACCGTTTGTAACGCATAGCGACATTAACCGATTTCGATGAAATTTTCAGCATGTGTATAATTGGCATAGATCTACAAAACGTATTTTTTAAATTTTCGTTACAAGATCAGATAAAAAAGTTGTAAACAGTGACCTTTACAATTTTCTTCGCGATTTCCACAAATTGCAATTTTTTCAAAAAATTTCAGACAAGTCATCTATTATAGTAAACTAATCCTTCTAACTTCTCAAAAAAACTCAAGTCGTTTGGTCCAATTTTAAAAAAGTTATTCCGTTTTATATGGTGTACGAATACTTTTTACATTCACTGTACGCCTCATGATTCGTTCCTCGTACATTGAAAATATTCATTTAATGACAGTTGTAATCAGTGATAAGCCAAACTGAACACACTTTATACATTTTCTCAAACGTACTAGCATATTTCAAACCCATAACATTATAATATAAATAATTAAATAATACATAAAATTCAGTTATTCGTACGGTCTTCTAAGCCCACTTACTTAGCGATCCCTAACGTTTCTTACGCAGTCTAAGATTACAAAGTTACACAGATTTAAAGACAAGGGTTTAGGTAATATGAACGCTGTAATACCTATAGCATATGATACCTTTAAACGTGTTTTTCTCGAAGCCACGTTTTTCAAACTGGTTGACACGATTTTTCAGAAACTAATGAGCCGATTAACTTCAAATCATACAGGGTGACAAGGAAATAGGTGGAAAAACTTTGTTATCGTATTCTACTATTCCTGTATACCTCCATATATCATCCTTACCAAAATTATAAAGATATGAACAATATTTCCATGCCCTGCAGCAGATTAAACTAACAAAATTATATTTAAAATGAAATCTTTTCCTTCAACTGACCGCCGTTTTTCTTCTATTCAATATCAAGAAATGATTTAAGCAGGAACTACAGAGGCAGGTTTACTAATCAAAATGAAAGTAATTAGAAAATTGGTGGAAGATTTTTATTTCTAATTATTATAACGAATGTAATTATGTCAACCAGAAAGGAGGAATCTTTGGAAGTGACCGTGCATTAATAGTATATCTATCTCAGTAAATAGTTTTCACTGTTTAATGTAACGACATAAACAAGTTGACTGAAGTACTGAAGTACAGTCAACCCTCCTACAACGCGGTACTCTTATAACACGGTTTCCATATAACGCGGTGCCAAAATTGCGACGGCCCTCCTATAACGCGGTTTCCGTTCAACAACATTCCATCAACTTAATTGGTTTAAGAAGATTCTCTATAGCATGAATTTATCTATGTGTTAAATTTTTACAGTTGAAATTAGCGGGGAATTCCCTTCTTTTTGGTGAAGGTACATCACCATTTTCCAATTTCAGTTATCAGGGAATTCCCCTATAAGCGAAGAAACGATGCGAGATTGTTCACAGTGTTCTGTTTTAATGCTTAAAATAGATCGTATGATTGACTGTTGCGTATTTGCGTGAATTTTTTTATTCAATAGCACTGCCGAACTTTCGCTGTTGCAACCACTTACTTTGTCATCAATTTTAAGTGCAACTTACAACTTGTTAGTAGGAAACTGTCTGTAAAACCGTGCAGACGTACATATCACGATTAGTGTTCAATAAAACGCCTTTTGCTCGCTTAATTTGTGTTATCGTAATTGGACAACATTACACAATACTGTAAAAATAATAAAAATAAAAATAATGAATAAAAAAAAATAAAAATAAAAATAATTTTATTGTACTTAACATATTATCTTGCCTTTTGTGTTTGTAAAATTTTTTCCACAACCGTATGCACCGTAACTTGACGCTCTGAGAATGCAATTTTCATTCAACGCAGAACGAATCAAACTGATTAACAAGTGATTTTACTTACTTCCGAGTTTCACTCAACGCGGTACGAATCAATCTGATTCGTACTAATTCTGAGTCTCTTATAGCGCGGTTTCCATATAACGCGGTATACGGTTTCCATATAACGCGGCACGAATTAATCTAGTTTGCACGTTAAATCTGAGTTTCTTATAGCGCGGTACGAATTAATCGCGTTATAGGAGGGTTGACTGTAGTAATAAATCAATGTACGAAACAAGAACTATGTAGACCTTTTAGTATGGAAGAAAAAAGTTTATATAAATTCCCCATTTTTCGTACATTGTCGAGTGAATACCCTCTTAAGCGCTTGGCCTCTCCTGCTGAGTAGCAATTCACGTATCGCAATCTTATTTTTCGGATCAAGGACTAGACAAGTAAGTACGTGGGCAACAATGGATGGCCAGAACTCAACGGACCTCAAATTACCTTCAATCGGTACATAGATGTTGGATACTGTTCATATACCTATATTTGATGCATCGACGACCTCACAGAGCGTGAATAACATTGTTTACTAGTATACTTTTCAATAAATGGGAAAAAAATTTCTATAGGAACACGCCTCTAGATGGATAAACAAGTATATAAGGAGAGAACAGTTAGAGTATAGGAGAATCTTTGACCAGAGTCCTTGAGTAGTTCACATCATCGTACCTCAAACCTCAAAAAATAAAGCGTATTCATTCATTCCTTCAGAAGTGAAGAAGCGTTAGTAGGACTTTGAGTCCAACTTTACCAAAACACAAGTTCGCAAACACAAAATAAAATCGTTAAAATACATAAACTGTAAAAGCAAAGTAGAAACGGCAAAAGCTCCTAGCCCCTGGGCTATTGAGCGCCGACCAAAAAAATATGGGGATTCCTACCAGTGGCGGTTCGTAAAAATTTGTAGCGGTAGGGCTGTAGCAATAAAAATAAAAAAGGTCAATATGGATTGAAAAAATTATATCGTTGATAGAGCTAAAGGAAATTATTTAAAAAGCAGACGGCATCACCGAAATCGATGATATATTGAATTGAATTGCGGTTTTCTGTTATGTCATATTTAGGGCTTTTCTATACTATATACATTTTAAATTTATGTTTATTAAGTAATATACCATTTGAACGCATAGACGTCGCTCTATCATATAAGCGATACACTTTTGTTTTTCACCGTCATTTGTTCTGAGTATAACTTAAAAACGTAACAACGGACAAGGAGCATTAAATTAGGACGTAAAGCCGCGGAAACTGGCCGCAATATCAATCGTGTATTCGGTGAAAGCACAACTAATGATTATAACGCATAAAAAGTTATTTGTTAAACAAGCAAGTTTGGTAAATGATAAGGGACCAATACTCCTACACTATAACGCCCGCCCGCACGTATCACAATCCACGATTCGGAAGGTACACGAATTGGGTTATGAAACATTAAACACCCTGCTTATTCCCCCGACTTATCCCCTACACATTACCACTTTTTTAAACATTTGGATAACTTTTTGCGAGAAAATATCTTCCGCAATAAAGAGGATGCTGTGAATACCTTCGTGGAATTTATTAATTCTAGAACTCCTGATTTTTATTGTAGTGGAATAGGAACTCTTGTAAAACGTTGGAAAAAGTGTATAGAATCTAATGGAAATTATTTCGATTAAATAAATTCATTCTAAGCAAAACTACACGTCTTTAAAACTCGTGTACAGAAACCGCAATTTATTTCCGGACAACCTAATAGTATGTAAAATTATTCGTTTAATTTTTCTATGTTATTGAAATAATAACAACTTTTTCCCATACGATATAAGGTTGAAAAAATTAATTTGTAATTAAAATAAAAGTTTGAACATTTTGAAGTGATAATTAATATTAATTCGAACAAGGTTTTTTCGTATTCATATTTAATTCATTTCCTTCTCGATATTGAAGAATGTGAAAATTATGGGAGTAATATGTTTGAAATGTTTTACCCGATACCATCGACGATATTAGCTAAATTCAGACGAGCTTTCTTGTTTACACGCCTGTAATTTCAACATTTCAACGTCATTTTATTCGAAGAAGTTTATTTCAAATATCTCGTTCCTGATAATGTTCGACAAATTTATAACAAAATAAAGAATCACGAGCAGGAGAAAATGATATGCGAAACACAGGTTGCTTGATCTCCCTGCAAGAGAATTTCGTCCAATATATCAGCAGCAATGAACCGAAAATCGAAATTCTTTCTAACTCATAAAGGTTAGAATTCGATAACGTTATACATTACATTATATTTCATTCTCGTTATAGCCGTATATTGCTACGTGGTGTCCTGTGTGCGACAAACGATTAAGCGATAAAGAAAGAGACACGTACGGACTCCTCAAGCATATTCGTAAATCTCATCCCAAACAATGTAAACAATATTTGTGTCAGGTATGAAGTATCCTTTTTTTCTTACAAACAAACAAATTCTATTCGAATCGTAACAGTTAAAAATGTAGTTCCTGGGTCTTTAGAGATCTTAAGCATTATCTTTACATATGTAGTAACATAAGCAAAATATAGTAAACAAGACTTTGGAAATGTTTGTACTTATACAGATATTACACTACGAATTCACTGCTTTTATAGATAATTTTTCGATATGGTAATTTTTACTCGTATAGCACGTATGCAATATACGAAAACACTGTTTAGAAAATTGCCTGTTATACGATATAAATTCTGCTCTTCTTTCTGCTACATAAAATCGTTGATATTGTTTTTACTTGTCCTTTAAGTTCAAATTGTAATGCGTATAACTTATATCATATAAGGTAGTTGAAAGAAAAATTGAGTAAAGTAAAAAAGTATATAAGAATAAAGTAATAAAGTAAAAATTGAAAAATGAATAAAGTAAAAGAATTCGGTTAACATATCGGTTAAACAATCCTAAAAAAGAA